AGTGCAAATTTTTTTTTTCAATTGACACATGTTAATTTTTATATATTCAAAAAAAATATTTTTCGAATTTTTTAAAAAAAATTATGAGCTTTAATAGAATTTTGAGTTATGTGTTTGGTTATAAGTTGTAAGTTTTTGTATCAAACATCATATGCTACATCAAAAATTCTCCACTCAATTCAAAACTCATTCACCAAACAAATTTTCCATACTCAAATTATAATTCCAAAATTTACAAACTCAAAATACAACTCTTATTCTCAAATTATCTTTAGAAAGCTCTACCAAACACAATCTTAAAATTTCACAACATTTGTGTATTTTTTAGGTGATTAGGTCCATCAAAACAACAATCACTTAAAACTTCTCAATTAAAATTTGTGCATAAAATTAAAAATTTTATTTTATTACTACTCATAAATCCTTTTCATATAAAAAAAACAAGTCTTTTAATTAAATGTGGATACAAGAAAATATATTTGTTTATATGTTTTAATATTATTTTTACTTTTATGTCGGTAAAATTAAAGATTTTGTCTAGAGTATTATAGTCGTCTTATTTGACTAATTTACTGTTTATTCACTATATTCTTGTGGATAGAACCAATCAAATCATGTATCCCTTTTCTTAATATAAAGTTTTATTATCATTCACTTATAATATTTTTGTTGATCCATTATACATATGGTTTGTCCTTTAATCATTGTTTTGATTACCAAATTTTAAGTCTCATGAAATGAAGTAATTATTATTTTAATTAATAAAAAGAAATTTTTTTGATAAAAATCCAAGTACAAGACATTAGATAATATATATATACAAAAGATATTTATATCTACAAAAAAAATTATACAAGAGCAAAGTGGGCATTAAGAAAAAAATTATATATCTATCTCATCAACTCCTTTCATTGTCATTGACAAAAACATAGCATCCTAGGGAATCTGAAACAATGTCCCAAAGCAGTAGAGTGGTAAGTGTAATTTTAGAAATTTAAAGGGAAGTTTCTGTAATTGTCATAAATTTCAGAGGAAGTTAGTATAATTAATCCAATAATTTTATATATAGGTATCTATAAATATACATATAAATAATTTAACTAATTTTGCTAAATAAAAAACTTTTTTTCTATTTGGTATATGCCACGAGTCAACTGGTAGCACTTAAATATTATTTCAGATTTGGTGCTTGTTCAAGAAATGCATTAATCTGAGATTTTGAATAGCCCTAATTGACTAGTGGTTCCAAGTAGTCAATCCTCCACCTCCTCCCTTGTTCTGCTCCGTTAAAGTATCCGCATCAGTGTAGTCAAAATAACAAAAAGGTAAAATATAATTAGTAAATCACAAAATTATTTCTCCATCAGGCTCAATAATTTTTTTGTAAATTAACTTTTTGTTAAATTTGGTACATTGCCTTGTTGAGGCACTATTCATTAGTTATATGATTTTTTATTATATTTGCTAGAGCAAACTGGGCCAAAATCTTTAAACCGGTCATCCACCCGGATATCCCACCGGATGTCTCGTGAGTGCCTGTAGCAGAAGAAGAAAAAATATCCAAAATTAGCCTAACCGGTCGACCGGTCAACAACAACTTTTTTATTTTTTTTTATTTTATACTTTTTTAAGAATTATTTGGATGACACCTTATCAATTTAATAAAAAAAATAAAGAATAACAAATACAATAAGAGATTAATATTTTAATAAGATTGAGTAAGAATAAAGAGTTTGATGCAGTGAGTACAACAAAGTGACTAGCTAAAATAACAAAAGTGAATTTTGGGTTATAATTTGACTCAAAATTTGTTGAGGGTGATGCGGATGCTTTTTTTTTTTTATCAACAAAAGGGAAACTTTATTGATGAAGAAAAAAATTACAATGGAGAACTTACATCAATAAAGAGGGGAGGCGCAACAAGTATCAAAACTACACTCAACAATCCCAATTAAGTTGGCACCGAAGAAGAAACTCAATCATATGCTAGCACAACACCCAAAATTGGCGAGGATCCAATCAACCATCCAAGAAAAGGAAACAAAGAACAGTAAAAAACAGTAAAAAAACATAACTGTTGGCTTATTTTTCCTACGAAGGAAAATATCATAAATGCGACCGTGCCAGCAAGGATTGAAACATCCTTACAGATTAAATTCAAGCCAATTACCAAGCGATTGTGTTGACGGTTCTTTTGCCTCAACGAAGAGGACTTCAAATTTGCCAAGTGTAGCGAAAAGAAAAAGTAAAAGAAGAAAAAGGGACGGAGAAAGATGATTGAGTGAACAATCAAAGTAATAAATACTTACCTCTACTCCTATGCTTCGAAAAGAAAGTACATAAAATGCTTCGAAATGGAAATACTGAAAATAAATGCTTCGAAATATAAATCTATGTTAAACTACTCCTAAGATGAGGAAAATGACAAGAAATATTGAAATCAATTGTCTTTGATTTAAGTTCTGGATCCTTTACAATGTGGCCATTAATGGCTATTTATAGAGAAAAAAATACAGCAATAATTACTTAGTAACTACCCATTTCTTCCATCTTCATTCTTGTCTTGCCATGTGTCCTTCCACTTATCCACTTTGTCCTCCCACTCATCCACTTTGTCTTTCATATTCTCCATTATCTTTATAACTTCTTTTAACTTCCAAATAAATAAGAGGATGCCACGTGTCTTGCAATTATATAATAATAAAATTGCAGATTTATGGTGCTAATAAGAACGCACCAAAATAAACACCCCAAGTCTAATACTGCACTTTAGCAGCAGGAAACAACTAGGGACAGATTCATAAACCCCACTCCTTGAGCTCAAGCTTCCACACAAACTATCCTCTGTTTTCAAAGATCAATACAAACAAACACTAAGTATAAGCACTGCAGCAACCATTCTGATATTTTCCTCTCAACTGCCACACCCCATATGATATAAGCACGGCTGATGCGGATGCTCTTATGCCCTGCTTCTTTTTCTTCACTTCAATTCTCTGTTGTTGCTTAGTATATCAGTAAATTAGAAAATTCCTCTATTTCCCTAAAAATAAAAAAATAAAAATCATACATGACATGAGAGTCACATGGGCAATTATTTCTGTAGTTGGAAGTGGATTTAATTTTGAGAATAGTTTGTGCAAATATTTAAGGCCTTGTTTGTTGGTTTAGGGGATATAAGGGGTAGATATAAAGTGAGAAGGACATTATATGAGGTGGATTTCATAATTTTTTTTTTTTTTTGTCTCTTTATATCTTGCGTTTGTTTAGTTTGGACAAAGACAGTCCGTAAATTATCTCTCTTAAGAGGGGAATATGCGATACTAATCCAATGGTGTATTATATATCCCTCACTATCGGATATAGATTTAGTTTTCATCCAACGATCAAAAATAATTATTGTCTTTTTATTCTATATTATATCATATCCTAACTAAATATAGCAAAAAGAATCCCATTATATATATATATATATATAAGGAAAATTTATTTATAAATATCCTCTTAAGGAATGATAATCTGTTTAGCTCCAAGAATTTTTCTTATAGCTCAATTAGTTCCATTGATTTTGGAAAAATAGATTTAATATATTATTTAGAAATTAAATTTACGGTTATATCCTTATTTCTATTATATTTCCTTTCTTTTTTTCTTTTGTACTAGAAATGTAAGATACATAATATATGAGAATCAAGTTTGAAATGAATTTTTATGTGAGAATCTTTTTTATTTAGAAAACATTTCAAAAAGAGTACAAAAACTCTTTAGTATGTGTTAGGCAAATGTATAATTTCAAATTGTAATACTTAAATGTAATACTCCAAAAAAATTCCTTAATGTACTTTTCTCAACGTAATACTCTAATATAACACTCCAAAAAAAATTCTTTAGTATAACACTCCAATGTGACAAACTCTAAAAAAAAGATGTGAGATTCTTCAAAACATTCCAAAAGGACGTGAGATTCTTCAAATTATTCCAAAAGTGTACAAAAATTCCTTAGTAACATTTGGACAAATGAATAATTTCAAATTGTGAGGGTTACATTTGGAAAAACTGCACTAAAGAATTTTTTAGTATTTTTGTGTGTTACATTAGAGTGTTACATTTGAGATTATATTAATTAGAGTGTTACGTTTGGAAAAAAAATATACTTTTTTTGTGTATGTGTGTGTGTTACATTAGAGTGTTACGTTGTTACATTTGCGAAAAGTGCATTAATGAGTTTTTTAGTTTGTTACATTGGAGTGTTATGTTATTAAGATGTTACATTGGAGTGCTATGTCTTTGTTCGTAATGTGAGATTTGTTGTAGAAGAGGGAAAATCCAAAAGCTTTATAGTGCGGATTGCCTAAATGTGTAATTTCACATTTAGAGAAAGCCGCTTTTATCTCTAAAAAATTAAATTCAAACGTGTAAATGACTATCCTTTTGTGTAATTTCATTTTAATGGGACCTTTGGGTTCATAAGAAAAAAGAGAGGACTAAACAATTCACATGATCACATTTTGAAATTTATTGGTGCTTCACCCGATTTATAATTCATCTCATATCTTAAATATATTATATCATATTTTATATTCCTAAGTATTACATATGATCCTCGAACTTTTATATATAATCTAGATAATTTGGCTTGGTGATTGTGTAATATCCTTTGTGGTGTAAGGTCTCAATTCCTATGAAGAGGATTTTGATACCTTTGTGATAGTGTTTATTTGACCGCATTATGAGAGTTGCATGTAAGTAGTAGTACAGTGATTGTTGAGCTTGAACTCAGTGAGTTTGGTAATTAGTTGTTAGACAAATTTTGTTGACTTTTTTTTTAACTATTATGAACTGATAGTGTTTGATGATGTAACATTTCTTAGATTTATAATTACTTTTCATCTATTGAAAAAAAAAAGAAAAAAAAATAGAATAATTGGTAATAATCTTGAGTACTTGATAGACTTGAGTCGTTTAATAATACAGGTAAAAGGAAGAGAAGGCGATTTTTAATGGAGGAGACCAGTAATAGAGAGGTGAATCCGGAAATCAAGGTAATCGATGATGGACAAGAGCCAAGTAAAAGTAAAAGTGAAAGTGAAACGATCATCAAGGTAGAAGAGTTGTTCACACCTCGAATACCGAGAGTTCCACCGATGATGAGAAACCATGAAAATAACAAGGGAATGTTTGATCCAAAAAGGGTTTCTATAGGTCCATACCACCATGGCAAAGAGGATCTCCAGCTTGTAGAGAACATCAAGCCTATGGTAGCAACACTGTTTCTACAAGATAGCGGCAAGAACATGGATGAGGTCTACAGCATGATTCTTGAAAAGGTTGATGATGCTAGAAGCTACTATGTTAAACGTTCAATCGCTGAATACAATCGTAAGCAATTTGCAAAAATGATGCTCTTGGATGGTTGTTTCATTCTAGCTATAATTGAGGACTTCCTCTCTTCTTATTCTTCTCATGCCTGTCGAGAATCAAAGTATGATGATGTTAAAAATCATCTAGGCACTTTTCTTTGGTTTTCAACAGTTCAAGATATATTTTACTTGGTTGAGAATCAGCTCCCATTTCAAGTTCTTGAGTTGCTAATGAGCTTAAAATTCAAAGAAGATGACCACGATGAGGGGATGAAATCCATCCACAAGTTATTGAATTTTTTGATTTCTAAAGACACTAGACATATTGACGATGAGGAGAAAGTTGATGTCAACGAAACTGACAGGGAATCGTTTCATCTCCTTCAATTGGCGCGGACAAAGTATCTCAATCTCAACAAATCTGTTCACGTACTCGAATCTCAAATGGGCACAAAGAAGGAGAAAGACAAATTCCAATGTAAGCAGTGCCTTAAGGATTACATTCGGTACTTATTTTGTTTTCTCAAGAAAGTCAAATTCCGGTGTATGCGCCTTAAGATGTTACGTTTTGTCAAGAAACTCAAATCTTCCAAACCTGAGTATAACCTGATGGGAGATGTTCGCCCATTTCGTTCAGTTACTGAGCTCAAAGCAAAAGGGATATACCTTACGCCTAACAGTTCTTTATCTCTTGAGGCTATTGAGTTCAAATCTTTTTGCTTCTATGGCCGTCTTGAACTTCATCCTTTCATGATTACTAGAGAGACCAAACTATTTTACTCAAACATGCTTGCTTATGAAATGGTTTCAAGCTCTATGTGTGAGGAGGACCCTGTCATTACCGATTACATTAATTTCATGCGATCACTGATTGACAACCAGGATGATGTGAAAGAGTTGCGGTCAAAGCATATACTATTCAACAATCTTGGCAGTGATCAAGAAGTGGCTAATGTTTTCAAAGAGCTTATCACTTTTGGATCTTCGTTTGGTGCATACAGGCATGCCAAGGAAGGGATTCAGAATCACTATAGCAGCACCGCCAAAACTTGGATGGCCGAACTTATTAACAAATATTTTAGCGGACCATGGACAGCCATTGCTTTCGTTGCTGCAGCTTGTCTATTTGTCTTGGCTTTTCTCCAGACTTACTACACTATCTCCCCTCACTCATCCCATAAATAAAGAAAAAGTAAAACAAAATTTCACTACTAAATTTGTATTAATTCCTAAGTGCCAGTTTGTTTTTGTTAGAATATATAATATATTATGTTAGTATAATATTATGTATATTATTATGTTTAGCTTTAGCTTTAATAATTAGTATAACTTTAGCTTTCATAATTAGTGTAGCATTAGCTTGCATAATTAGCTTGCTTTAGCTTTATGCTTTCGGTGGCTCTCTCTCCAATGTATCACAGGCTATAAGAAGAGAGTTAGGCTCCCTTTGTAAAACAATCTATGAAATACACATTTCATTTATTCACTTGTTCTCTCTCTCTCTATCAATTTTATCTTACATGGTATCAGAGCTAAGTTAACAACCTAATCATTCTGCTTCACCGGCGGGCGGCAGCCTCGCCTTGGCCGCCCGTCGGACCTCTACACATACCTTCACTCCGCTGCCACATTTCTTGCTGCTGGAGTTTTGTACTCATCCCCGTGACCTCTCATGTGCATCCTTAAATTAGCATCTCTCTTGAATCCCTTTCCACATATCATACAGAAATGGTTTTGTTCAATCTTGCAACTACCAGCTAGATCAACATGGTTGGACTGATCAGAAACTTTTCTTCCACCAATATTCTGTTGCACAACACTGCCGTTTAAACCAGCACAGCACTGCCGTTCATCAATGGCGACATCGAATCACCATCATCCATCTTGGTCACCTCCACCAACACACATGGGCTAAGACCAGGCCTCTCTCCCCTTTTCTTGAGCAATTCTCTCTCTTTCTTTTTTTTTGTTTGCTGTACTAATACTAATCAGTGGCCTCCTGATCACACTATCAAACTCAAGAAAACCAAAAATCTCTCTCACTATACCATGAAACATGAACTACTCACCACCCTTCCCAGAACTAGTTCCTCCAAAACCACCAAACACATCATGCCCTCCTCCAACTACATCAAATCATCACCTCTTCTCTCCGAACCCACCTCCTCCGACAACCGGCTCGCCGGAAAATCCTCTCCGGCCGCCTCCTTCAGCCGCCGTGTCGGTCTCTCCACTCTAGTCCTAATTTGATACTGTGAAGACCCAAATATAAAAAAAAATTAAGTAAATAATTAAATAATAATAATAATAATATTACAATCTCAAATTATTTTGATAAGCAAATCAAGTGAAACCATTTGGGTTTGAAACTTAAGATATATTAGATCATATCTGGAGGTTATTGGAATTTTTCGAATAGCGTGGAGTGGGTTTTGTAATTTTCAAAGTTAGCGAATAGATTGGGAAAACTTGTTTAAAACACTGTTTCATCTTAAAGTTATTTTTAGTCAAGTTTCGATCGGAATCTATGTCTTGGGTGATTTTAGACCTTGAAGAATATGAACTTAGGTAATATTTAAGAGTAACGGTGAGTTGGGTTGAACCGTGTTAGTGCGTTTTAGTTTGAGGTTACTTAGTTCCTATTTGTTTTTAGTATTTTTAAATTAGTTGTGACGCGTAGTTTTTATACTTGGTTCAGGCCACTAGTTGGACTTTTACACTCTATTCGAGGATTATATTATTGCGTTTCAGGTGAGTAGTTTCATGCTACGTATTTTTATAAATGTTCCTTTACCCTGAACTGTTGGAAAAATTAAATTGTTATTTCATGATTAAACTGTTTTGATAAATTATTATATTATCAATTGAATCAAATTATTTCTGAAACACGTGTGAACTTGGCATACTGTAAACTATTTGTTTTGGTCTCATGTTTATAATGATGAACTACCATATTTTGCGAAACTGATGTGTATTGATTATTGGGACCATGTGTGTATTTAGTCCAGGGAAATTATTCCACTGTGTGTGGTGACTCTGGCCACTAGGGAACAGATCCGGGTTGGGCCGTGATGACTCTAGTGCTCAACGATTGTAAGGAACAGACCTTTAAAAACAACTAGGTGACCTTCAATCGGATCGACTTTGAGAAAAGGCCCAGGTGCCACCCTGAGGATGACTCTTAGTTCGGTATTGGATCCAACGGGGCTTATAGCCTGAGAAATGTGTGGCAGATTATTTGTTTTTATTGGTACCCAGAAAATTATTGGTGTTCATGTTATAATCTGTTTTAAGTGAGTTTCTTGGGCTTAGCTGGGTATTATTGACGTTTTGTAAAAAGACTTCTTTAGACTGGTCTCACCATTGACTAGATTGATGATGAAGGGAATTAAATTTGTGTGGAGTGAGACATACGAGAAGTCATTTCAAGAGTTTAAGGTTAGACTTACCATTGCTTCAGTTTTGATTATTCCAGAGAGGGATTTGGGTTATTTGGTTTATTGTGATGCGTCTCGGGAAGGTTTAGGTTGTGTATTAATGCAAGAGAGGAAAGTAGTAATGTATGGCTCATGACAGTTGAAAGTACATGAGAGAAATTATCATACATGGCGTAGCGGGGACTCAATTGCATGGACCTCTAGGGCATTCCTTTTGTTTAGAGTGTTATGTCAAGTTTGTGCATATTTATATTTATTCTTATCGAAGTTCATTTAGGATTATTTTTGATATGTGGGTTGTTTATATCCCATAAGTTTGGTTGGTTTTTGATTATGGTTGATTTTGCCGTTTATAATTGTGGCATGTCTGGATTGAGTTTTGGTTATTTATTATTGGACTATTGTTCAGTTGTTCAATGTGATTGGATTCGTGTTTAGGCTTACGTGTGCCTTGGGCTAAGTCCCTGTGGGCCACGGCCGGTCATGCCCGGATTTGGGGTGTGACAGATACACTACATGCACTGATCTGTCTCTTCTCCCGGGGTTGGTTCTCTTCCCGCATCACACACGGCACACACACAACACATGCACACCATTAACAACTCTCACACAGACACACACTGAGCTCCTTCCACACCACGGTACACACCCATACCCACACACTCTCTCTATATCTCACTCTCAGTCCTCCCTAGTCATGAGAGGCTGATCAAATTGTTTTGTTTGACCTACACACTCATACACACGGCACATGCATACACAGGCACACACGGCAGCAAGACACCCAGACACATGCATACAGACATGCACGGGTTCTCTCTCTCTCTCTACTCAAGGACACCCACCACTTTGACCACTTTCCAACCTATCATCCACCACCTTTTGCACATACCCATACCCTTTTTTTTTTTATTTTTAAACCAATCTTCTCTTTCTTTCTTTTTTGCTTTTCTTATGTGGTGCTTCGATTACATGAAATCAACCTGTTGAATTTCTTTTTCCCCAGTCTCTCTCTCTCTCTCTGGGCCCTTTCTCTCCACTAGACCCACTCCCTCACTATAATATATTATATTGTTATAGTATGATATATTATATTGGCCATTATATATCCAGCTGGTTTTGTAAGCGAAAAGTAAGCATTGGTATGCGTGGATCAAGTCTCACGTGGGACCGATTAGCTAGATGTTGATGCTGTTTCTGCAGAAGTGATTCACGTGGGTTTTGGTGTCTTCCTGGGCCACGGTTTTGTTTTCTTGGTTTTGTTTTTTTTTTTAAAAAAAAAAAAAAAAAAAACCTTCTGCTCCACTTTCTCAATCCCTTTGTTTCAACCTCAAATAGGTTTCTATCTTCCCACCTATTTGAGTTTCAGGGGGGGTTATACATATATCATGGTGAGCACTCAAGCTGGTGAGCATGGTTATATACCATGGGAACCAACCAAGCCACCCCATGGCGCACTCCCTAAGTCGCCTCCTCGGTGCACCACCACAGCTTTTACATCGGTCCGGCATGACCCCGTAAACTGTCCCAACATTGATTCTGGTTAGCATCTACATCGGTCCGGCATGACCCCGTAAACTATCCCGACATTGATTCCGGTCAGCTTCTACAACGGTCCGGCATGACCCCGTAAACTGTCCCCATAAACTGTCCCGACATTGATTCCGGTCAGCTTCTACAACGGTCCGACATGACCCCGTAAACTGTCCCGACATTTATTCCGGTTCGTTTCTACAACAACGGTCTGACACGACCACACAGTGTCTGCTACATCGGTCCGGCATGACCTCGTAAACTGTCCTGCTACAACGGTCCGACATGACCCCGTAAACTGTCTTCTACACCGGTCCGACATGACCTCGTAAACTGTCCTGCTACAACGGTCTGACATGACCATACAGTGTCTTCACCAACAGTCCGACACGACCATACAGTGTCTACTATCTTCTTTTATTTTATGTATTAGTTTATCTAAATGTTTTGTTCCTTTCCAAACTCAAGTTGGTTTTACCTATCCTCCTTGAGTTTGAGGGGGGATGTTAGAATATATAATATATTATGTATATTATTATGTTTAGCTTTAGCTTTAATAATTAGTATAACTTTAGCTTTCATAATTAGTGTAGCATTAGCTTGCATAATTAGCTTGGTTTAGCACGGTGGCTCTCTCTCCAATGTATCACAGGCTATAAGAAGAGAGTTAGGCTCCCTTTGTAAAACAATCTATGAAATACACATTTCATTTATTCACTTGTTCTCTCTCTCTCTATCAATTTTATCTTACAGTTTTGATATCTCTACTGGTATTTTTCCTCTATTTGTTCTCTAGTTATGTGAGCAGGGGGTACATGTAAACCCGTTCTACTTTTTTTTTTTTTAAGTGTGCGTTCGTCTGTACATTAGTATTTATTACATGCTTTTTCTTATAATAATTGTGATTAGTGCTCTTGTAATTTGTGTTTTCGCGAGAAACGCAATAATAACTTTGTTCCTTGTTACTTGTTATCAAACTTATTTAATATTTTTCCTTTCTATTTTTTTTTTGGATGAGATTATACTACGCTCACTTCTTATTAACAAAAATTAGAAAAGAAATACTTGCTCGAAGATCTCTAATTGGTCCTTTTTGAAGAGAACCAAACCTCCTACACTTCACAATGGAACACTTCTCAAATAAACAATCTCCCTATTCATTCATTAATATTGTTTTCGGTTTTATACCAGAGATTGTTTCAGACTCATCACCTA